TGTGTGTGTGTGTGTGTGTGTGTGGTGTGTTCGCGCGCGCGCGAATGTGTGTGTGCACGCGCGCGGGGGCGTGTGTCTCTCATCTCACCCGTCTGTAGGTGCTGGACTCGGCGAGACGCGGGCGAAAAGGAAAAGAAGGCGCGAGGTGAACTGAGTTTGATCCTGAGGCGCCTACAAGTGGGTCCCCGGCGGCGGGCGGCGGGCGGGGCGGCTGGGCGGGAGGCCGGCGGGAGCTCACACGCTCGGCAGCCGGCCGGCCTCTCACCACGCCTCCCGCTTTGTGAGCGCGCCCAGGGGGGGTGCTGGCCGCGAGCCCACGGCGCGCCTCCCGCCTCTATATAAACACACGCATCGCCTTGCCTTGGATCAAATCAGATTGAGAGACGCTTTTCAAACCACCAGCCCTGAAGTCCTGCCTCCTGCTTTCCCCTCTTTCATCCCCTTTGCCGTTCTTTCTTTCTTTTTTTTCCCCCCTCCTCTCTTTTCTTTTCCCCCAACAGCAACTCCAGAGCCGAGAGACTGCGTCCCGGGACAGACTGCCTTTTCTTAATTGATAGATAGCCGGGCTCGGGTTTTCCACCTCCTCCCCCAACCCCACCCCGCCTCCCCCCTCCCGCCCGCCGCCGCCGCCCCAGCGCCCGCCCGGGGCTCTGTCGCCGGCTGCGTCCCTTCCCGGCTGCGGCCCGCCGACTCCGCACTCGCACTCGGGCCAACGCGCCCGCCTCGCCCGCCTCGGGGTGCCGCGGCCGCTCCAGCCTCTGCACTCGCCTCATCTGGGGAGCCTTTTCCCAAGCCCCCAAAGTTTCTGGGTTCGTTGGAATTTTTGGATTCCGATTTTCCCCCCTTTTTATGCACCTAGGAATTTTGGAGGAATACTTTTGATAAATTGATCTCACTTTCCGCTAGCTCTCGGTTCCCCTTCTTTTTGCCCTCTCGCTCTGAGCAGGGAAGGGTCTTCCGAGAGGCTCCTGGTGGATAAAGTTTTCCAAAGTTTTTCTAGTGTGATGGTTGAGGGGAGAGCAGGCTCACCAGCTTGACTCAGCTCCATCTCACCTTCCCAGAGCAGCCCTAAGCCCGCATAAAGGGACAAACAAACAACAAACAAACAAAGTTACACCTCGAGTCGCTTCGTGTCTCCTCTCTTCTTCTTCTTCCAGGAAATCTTTTTCCTCCCTCTCTTCGATCACCTCGCAGCCTTCAGACCCCTTCTCTCGGCCCCATCTCCTGGGTTTCTCCGAGGGGTGCCAGGACCCCCGGCCGCAGCTTCCCCTCCCCCCGTCACTCTGGTCCGGCCCTCCCCTCCCCCTTCGCGGCCCGCACAGCCAATCCCCCGAGCGGCCGCCAACATGCTCTTTGAGGGCTTGGAGCTGGTGTCGGCGCTGGCCACCCTCGCCGCGTGCCTGGTGTCCGTGACGCTGCTGCTGGCGGTGTCGCAGCAGCTGTGGCAGCTGCGTTGGGCGGCTACCCGCGACAAGAGCTGCAAGCTGCCGATCCCCAAGGGCTCCATGGGATTCCCGCTCATCGGAGAGACGGGCCACTGGTTGCTCCAGGTAAGCGCACCCTCGCCCTGCTAGCTGCTCCTGGAGTCCGCTAGCCGCGGGTACCCGGCCAGGGGGCGCCGGTAGCTCGGACACTCGGACGCTTGGACGCGTCGGTCCCCGCCCCGCCCCTCTCTGCCTCTGTCGGCGCCGCCTGGGTTTCCCCAGCTCGCCTGCAGCGCGGCTTGGAGTCCTTGGGTGCCGGGTGAGCTAGTTCAGAGGGCTGATGGCGGGGTGTGGGGGCGTTTGGGGGGCTGAGGAGCAGAAAGGAGGGCTCCCAAGTGTGATGCACCTGGGGCTGCGAGCGCCCAAGCAAGGGTGAGCGGAGAGCTCTGGGGAGCCAGTCTGGAGGGGCGTCGCTTAGCTTTCCAGTCTATGTTAGCGTCCTGGGTATCTATCTACCTAGCCGCTGAGAGGTAAAGGAGAGGGCCAGTGGCAGCTTGGAATGGCCCACATTAAGATCCGGGCAGTATCCTGCAGTGTATCCGGCTCAGGCACAATTGGGCTGGTACAAGGTGCTAGTCACAACTCTGCGTGTGTGTGTGTGTGTGTGTGTGTGTGTGTGTGTGTGTACATGCGCGCGCGTCTGTGTCTGTGTGTTGTGGTGGGAGAGGAAAAAGGTAACCTAAGGGAAATTCGAGGCAAGAAAGCTGAGAGCTCTCAGCTTTCGGGGAAAAGGGTCTGTTTGCTTATTGGGTGGGGACAGTTTAGCACAGGGAAACCAGGAGAGGTATGCAAGAAATCCAGAGTGTGCCTATGCAACTGGACGCCTCACAACTCCACTCTGGTGACAATTGGGGCCAGGCTCGTTGAGGACCAGACCCAGGTAAGTAGCAGGCAGATTAACCTGGAGTTAACCTCGTCCAATGCTAGACAATCGCTTTTGCAATTTGATACACCACAGGGTTTTTTTTGGGGGGGGGAGCGGGGGTGAACCTCTAGGGTAACAGCAGGAGATGAGTTTGTCAGGCGGGTGATCACGGACGTTAGGGGCAGCCTGAATATCCCTAAACAGACAACTCCAACCCCTCAAAAGGAGAAATGAAAGATGAGCGCGCGCGCGCGCAGACCTATGGGTTTAGACGTGCGAAAGCTTGGCTTGAAATTAATAGACGCGTGCAGTCAATGCGCGTGAACACACACACACACACACACACTGTGCCCAGTGGAGAGCCGAGTGACAGGAGAGGGGCGGGTATGAAGGGGTTTGAGAGATTCTCCCCCCCCCCGGGGTCTCTCCACGCCTCATAGTCGGACTGTCTCTGGGGGGGGGTTGCTTGTCCAATCGGGTGGGGTTCACTTCAACCAATCGGACGATCCTTAGAGACAAAATCTCTTTTGCTTGTTTCTTGTCTCCACATTTAAAGGGTTAACTGTGGCGGTGGTCCAGGCTTTAGCCGGGAATTTAGAAAATAAAATAACTCAAGTAGGCAACGGTTCCCGCCGTTTAAGGCAAAGCCTCGGAATCATCGTTCCCATCCTGTTTCCTGACCGGCCCCTCCCCCATGTCCCTTGCCCTTTTTCTCAATCCCTCAAGGGCCCTTGCGGGTGTGGTGCAGCCAGCACAGAATTTAGAGAGGCACCCCTTCGCCAGGGCATCGGCGCCCCTGGGGGGGGTGTCATATCCCCTGGGAGGAGGGACCAGGGGTGTTTAAGGGGTTAAAGCGAACCCTGCGAATCCGGTGTTTTTTTCGGAGTAATTTATCAGATTTTACGGGGGACCTCCAAGGGCTCTCGGTTTCCACTAAGCACCATCTAAACAGAGCCCAGGGCTAAAAATACATTTTTGTATAAATTGGACTCGCGGCCCGAACGGCCGCCCCTATGAAAGTCCTCTTTGTGAAGGCCGTGGAAACGGCGGACAAATAACTCTTTATTAAAGCCACAAAAAACGCACTTTAATTATAGTTAGGCAGATCAGAGGCGGGGGTGGGGGCCAGGCGGCGGCGACCTCGGAAAATTCACAACCCAACTTTTGTGTCGAAAGAAAAGAAAAACAGAGGAAAAGACGGGAGAGGAGAGACGGAGTGAGACCGACCGAGGGAGACTGCGCGGCAGACGAGGACGGGAACCCCGCTCTGTGCCCCCCTCTGCCGCACCCCACCTCCGCCCGACTTCTCTTAAAGGAGCCGGCGCCGTCTAAACCGGCGTCTGGACGGGGGCGTCCCCGACTCGGCCCCTCCAGGTGGCGCGGGGGTTCCCGGCTCGTTCCCTGTCGCGCGCCGGGCCCAGAGGCATGTGGAAAAGCCATTAGGAATCTGGGTTCTGTAGTCACTTTTCGCATCTGGGGCGTGTTCACTTCTAACTGGAGTATAGTTTCCCTGGGAGAAAGGAAAGTGAGAAGGGGGGCCAATCTGGGAAAGGGGAGCCTTCTGTCTCCGGGTGGAGGGAGCCGAAGTCCCTGGGAGACCATGACGCAAAGGCAGGAGACTCGGCCGGGCCGCAGTTCTGCAGTCCGGCGGGGAGAGACTGGACAGGTGGCTCTCCGCCCCTCTGCACCCTGTGCACCCTGGCGGGAGAAGGGTTAAGGCGGGCTGGGTGGCGAATGTGATGAAGGTTTCCGGCGCCACAGGCCGTTGGCGTGGAGCGCAGGGATCGGCCGGGGCCCCCGCGATCCGGTTACCTGCGCGGGTCACCGCACCCCGTCCCACCGCCCCTCAGGAGCACCTTCCGGGTGCTCCAGTTCCAAATTTCAGGGCGGTGATCAAAGTCTGTCCCAATTATTCTCAGGACAAATGCTTCAGGAGAGTCGTGGCTCTAGGCCCAAGACTCCACCCTGCGGAGCCCACGGAGGGCCACACCGGAGCAGAGAGGAAACTCCAACCCCCATCTCTGGGGACAGCCTCCGGGCACGCACAACTCGCCGCTATAAATAATCTTTGGCCTGCGGCCACCCCGCGGGGTCTCGCCAGCCCGTGGCCTGGAGCCTGGAAATATTTATTCCGAGAGGCTCCACCGCGCAGGGGTGGGGGAGCAGGCTCTAGCTTCAGGTCCAGCCGTCGGGGATACCCCCCTAAAGCCATTACTAAAAGCAGCCTTCCGTGGGTGCCCCTGCATCTTCGTCCTCCCGCATTATTTATTACCCTCCAGGCCCCACTTCCCAGTCCTAATGCACTCCGTGAAAAATAAAACCCGTAAGAGTGTGTGTGTGTGTGTGTGTGTGTGTGTGTGTGTGTGTCCGCGAGCGCGCGCGTGTGTTGGATGTTGGGGGATGACAGGAACCGGATGGCCGATGCTTAGGGTGGGGCTGGATGCAAGGGCACCAAAGGTCCTCTGTGAGCCCTGAGAGGCTTTTGGTGCATTCCCGCAGGGTTCTGGCTTCCAGTCGTCGCGCCGGGAGAAGTACGGCAACGTTTTCAAGACACACTTGCTAGGGCGGCCGCTGATCCGTGTGACCGGTGCGGAGAACGTGCGCAAGATCCTCCTAGGCGAACACCAGCTAGTGAGCACCGAATGGCCGCGGAGCGCACGCGTGCTGCTGGGCCCCAACACGGTGGCCAATTCCATTGGCGACATCCACCGCAACAAGCGCAAGGTAAGAGCTCAGACCCTTGCCTTAGGACCGACCACCTTCCTCGGGTAAGGAGCACAGAAATCTGAGCTCCCCTGCCTAGAGGGTTTCTTGCCTGAATCCGGGCTCAGCTTGGGCCTCCTCTTGATGCACTCTGGTGCACCTTTTGGCTGCCCCACTGCATGGTGGGCACCACTAGGGTCAGTGAGGTCTGCCTGGATATGGTCTGGACAAAGCTTGTACGTGTGGGGTCTGCAGTGATGGATGCGGTTGCTCAGTGCACCACTCTACTGGAAAAGGAAGGGGGCGGGGCAGACGGTTCCACCCCTCACTCCTCAACCTCCATTTCTCAAAGTTTCCCCCAGGAAAGCCCCCAAAGACCGATCATGCTAAAACCAAACCTGGCCTAGCAGCCACAGGTTGCCTGGAAAGGCGACTCTGTCGTGTGTTGCGGGACTGGAGATACCCTGGGGGCAGCAATTCTCCTGGCCTAGCCAGGGGAATAGGTTGGGTGGGCTTGGGGCCCCTGCCCTGACAGGCACCCAGGCTGGTTCGGGGTGGGGGGTGGGTGGGGGAGGCAGACAAGGGGTGGGAGCGTAGTCTAGGTGCGCTGAGGTTCAAAGCGCACCCAGCCTCCAGAAAGAGGAAGAGAAAGTGGGTGTTTATCCGGTGGATTTCCCGAGCTAGAGCAGAGACGCGCAGCAGGCGAGCCAGAGCGCAAGCAGCACGCCTCCCCGCCCCCTCCAGCTGCGCCGCCGCCACCGCTGGGCTGGGAGCGCGGGCGGCACGTGCTGTTTGAACTGCAGTAACCCGAAGGCTGAGCCGGCCGGCGGGCGGGCGGGCGGGCGGGCGGGGCGCCGGCCTTGGGCTGGAAGCCGCCAGAAGGGAGGCTGCAGGGCTCCTTCACTCTGTTTTTTCCATTGGGTCAGAGGACTCAGTCAGGTCTGGAACCTAAAAAGGAGAAAAGGGGGCCTCTTGCCTCGGGCAGGAGTGGTAGAACAAGGGATTGGAGAGAAAGGGGACCGCGGGGATCATACCCTTTGCCAGCAGCCCTACCGTTAGGTGGTCTGGGTGACTGGGGGAGTAGTGGGACAATCACTGATGCAGCCTCTGGGTTTTGGTGTTCTCTGAACCGTCCCGTGAGGGTCGTTCTCCTTGGCAGGCACAAGAGAAAAAAAAAAAAAATCAAAGGAAGATGTGTAGGTCTCCCAAGAATTCTGCAGCAGGGCTTCTGAAGGCCTGACTGGATGCTGGAAGCAGTTAACACAGCTTGCTGGCAGATGGGGGAGGGGCTGGGAGCAGAGCTTTTCCCCTGGAGACTCCCAGACTCCTCAAGGCTTCTTTTCAAGGAGCTGAGAGAAAGAGCTGAGGCCTCTGGGAACCCAGCTCCAAGCTACTGTCGCCTCACTTCCCTTCAGAGGCTCGATGCAGAGGGATCTCAGATTCAGACTGAGTGAGATTTGAACCCCCAAGTCATCCACCACTCAGCCTGCGGCTTTACCGGGACCTGCCTGCGGGGGCTGCGGGAAGCTGGGGTGGGGGCAAGGTGCTCAGAGGAAGGAGGAGGGCTTGACCAGGACCGGAGTGTGAGGCCCAGGGAAGCCCACGGGGCTCTGGGTCTGGCTGGTGCCTTGGAAGCTCACGCTCGCACCCTCTTCTTGAGTTGCCCTTGCAGGAGCCAGGTGGGAAAGGCCTAGGTTTGAGTCCACGTGGTCCATCTGCAGGCAAGGGGACAAGGAAGGGACGAGGACAGATGAGCAGTGCCAGGGGAGACACAGGACAGGAGGAGGGAATTCTAATGAGGTGGGAAACAGGCCATGCGCAGGGACTCCACAGTCCTCCTCTCCAGAGCTCCTGGCCTTCTTACCCCTGAGGATGAGAATGGTCGGTCGGTCGGAGGCCAGGACATACTGACCCAGGCTCCAGAAACAAAACACGCTCTCGGTATGTGTGCTTGCTTTGTGGTGGTCACATGGATAGGAACCTTCTCAAGTCAGCCTAAAGTGTGACCCATGCTCCTGTTTACTGAATTGATGGGGAGCTTGACCCTTGACCTAAGGAAGTAGAACCTGATAGGAAGGACAAGACTCGAATACTCAGGGGCCGTGTTCCTGAATGCCCATGTTGCCCTGAAGAGATGGGTCAGTTTTGAAGATGCGAAAGCCTGGAGGGCACCCTATGGCCAGAGTGAGAGTAACGCAGCTCACATTACAGGGAGGGCCGTGCCCCAGCCTGGTTAGGATGTGGGGCCCAGGTGTGCGGGGCCATGGCTGGCTGAGAACTAGAAGAGTCACTGTTTCCATCGAGGTGGGCGACTGCCCCTTCTCTGGGAGGTCTAACCAGATGTGTGGGGAGAGGGCTCCTCACAGGCCTCGCTGCACGCACTCCACATGTTGGCCCTGGCTGCCCTGGTGGTCTAGGGCTAGCAGAAGTGGGGCTGCCGGGAGAACTCCAGAGTGTCCCCTCGTCTGACTGTTTCACCTGCGGAAGCCAGGCCTCACACTCCCTCCCTCCCTCCCAACTTGGGGCAGAGGGTCCTTCCTATCTGACAGACTGTACAGAGTGGCTGGCCTGCTGCCCAGGCAGGAATGGCTGGAGTCTAGTCGAGGAGGTAGGGACAAGCAGTTGTAAGAGACAAAAAGAAGTTAGCACTTCTGGAAGCCTCCCGCTCTCCAGCCACATTTCCTCTGTGCTTTTGTAGACAGAGCTGGGTCTTAGCACTGAGAGACTTCAGTGTGCCCAACAGGGGACCCAAGACGCCCTGGAGTGGGAAGACACTAGAGCAGGTTTCCTGTCCAGCAGGTGGGCAGAGCTCAGAGTGGTCCATGGTAATAGAATCATGGGGGAGGCTACCCCCACCACCACCACCACTAGGCTCTGGATGCCTCTGGCTTATTACACAGGCTGTAGCCGTACACATGCCCACATGGATCCAGGCTTGGCTCAGGGCAGAAGCGCCAAGCTGATTTAGGGTTCATGGGAAGGTAGAGAGCATAGGCAGACAGCCCAGCCCCAGGGGAACAAAGACTTTGTGGGCTAGATGAAGTCCTTCATCCAGAAATTAAGGTAGCTAGCTCTAGCAAGTGTGGGGGGGGGCTGCTGAGGAGGCGTGGCAGGAGAGGTTCCCTTTGAAGGTCAGTGGGGGAGGAAGCCCAGGCCAGCTGCCAGAGTGTCTGGGTGTGGGTGCCTCCCTCGCTCGCTCGCTCGCTCGGCCTTGTGCAGGGAGGCAGGCAGGCTGAGTGGGGGGCTTCTGCTTCCGGTATCCCTTCCTCTCCTTGCCCTACTCCTGACATCTGTCTGTCGCCTTGCAGCCCCACTGTGTCCCTCTGATGGCCCCTCACCCCTCATTTGGAGAGTAAATGTGGCCTCGGTGCAGGGAGGGGAGGCTTGGCTGGAGTCTGTTGTGGCCCTGAGCCCCGATGCCCAGTTCTTATAGCCATCCTGGGCTCCCCAGACCAACAAGATTGGTGTGAACTGGGGATTTGAGGATCCTATCGCAGGGTCTAGACAGTTACCCTACTCTATGACCCTGAAAAATCCTTCCCTCATGGCTCTCAGATTTCCAAGGGGGGTTGGAGGCCGGAAGATGGTAAGCAACTGGGCAGTCAGTTCTTCCCTAACCTGTTAGTGCTTTGGCTGGGGGTCTATGGAAGAGTTAGGTAGGAGGATACACACACACACACACACACACACACACACACACACACACACACACACACGGAGAGGGAGACTTGTACAGGTAGGAAGGGGAATGACCAGAAGGGATGAGTGAGGACAGCCCGAGGTGAAGGAGAAGCCAGGTGGCATTGCAGGCAGCTGGGAAATGACACCCTCTTCGGTCCCCCCTCCTTACTGGAGTATAAAGTACACACCTTGGCGTCGCCACTATACAGACCGCGGTCCGCCTTCTGTTATTCTTTCCACTCCACAGGCCGAGGCTCCGGTGGCTTGGCTGGGTGGCCTGCCTGGCCCCCACCCCTCCTGGGCAGCAGCTTCCATTCCTCCTCAGCTGAGTCACTGACTGGGCGGTGGGCTCCCTCCAAGGCCCTGCCTGCTGCTGTGGCTGCCCCCAATTTGCCCATCCACCCTCAAATGCTGGCTGCTCAGGCAGGTACACTCCTGGGGAGCTGTGGGAGTGTATGAGGTGACCTCCCATCCCAGAGACACCCGAGTAGAGGCGAGAGCAAGTCTGGCTGGGAGAGAAGACATCTGTAAGAACAATTAGAGGGGAGTTAGGTTTTGACAAGCCCCGGTGAACATTCTAGGCTCCATGCAATCAGGTTCTATTCACAGGGAGAGAGACAGACAATATAGGTAATTGTGTTATTGGGGAGACAGAAGGGGCCAGGGAATGTTCTCCAAGGACGTTTAGTATAGCGACCATCCTCCCTCCAGGCCTTCTTATGGTTCTATGGATAGACTGCGGTGGGTGTTCTGGGTCTCCTAGGACCCTCTGTCCCTGCCCTCCCTGCACCCATCCCTTGCAAAGTCCATACCTGCTGATCGGCAGAGCTCTGTCGGGGCCTGGCTGATTCCACGGACCTTTGTGTGGCATTCTTGGCTTCATTCTGGGAATTCCCAGGGAAGACCCCATGAAAGACAAAAACAACCTGGCCACTGTGTTGCCTGTGGTCAGGGCCAGTGTTCCTGGGCCAGAACCGTCTTCAAACTGAGCCGCTCCCAAGTACCTTCCCCTGTGCCCCAGGCCTGACCCCAGTGGCCAGCAGCCTCAGATCCAACAAGCTGATGGGGCCCAGGCCTCTCCCTGCCCTGGCAGGCACCTCTGCCCGTCCTCCGTGGTGGCTGGAGGTTTTCTGGGCTGCCCGGCTTTGGGAAGTGCCCGCCTTGTTAGCCCTGGGCACAGACCCAGAGATGCAGACTTGGCATCCTCCCAGAGCCTGGGAGGCTCCTGTGTCTCTAGAGCAGCTGAACCAGAGGCAGGGCCATAGACTTGGTGACTCTGGGCAAAGGCCCCTGCTAGAGTGCCCGCTACCAGCCTTTGCTTGGTTCTCCTGCCTGAACTTTCTCCAGCTTCCGGAAGAGAGCAGGAGGAAAGCCTCCAAGGAGAACCGGGGAACGTCTGGGTGGAAAGGGACTTGGAAACATCTAGATGGACTCTTCGTAAAGCCGATGGGGAAACGACCCAGAGGAGCAGCAAGCCAGAGGCTGGTCTAGACAGGAGCCTGGGCCTTCATTCCTTTTCTCGGGGCTCCAGTGGGAGAGTGGCCCCCGTTGCTGGCCTTTCTCAGGACTCTTTCCCACTTGGGGACTAGAGTTCCTTGCTCAGCCTCAGATCCTCCTGGGCCCCTCGGGCCCCGAGAAGTGATTCAGTTAGCTGTCACTAGATGGCGCAGGGAATGTAACCTAAGGGGCACAGGGGGCTTGTTCATGATCCCGGTGGGCCCCTCTCAGGATGCTCTTCTTCGATTAGCCGTTAGGGTAGCCTGTGCCGCCCCCCGGGGGGGGCCTTGGTGTGGTGTGGGTATGGGGTGCTATGCTGTATCCTCGGGGCTCACGTGTCATGAGGCTGTGCTGCTGGGAAGGGTTTCTTCTTGAGAAAGACATAGGTGCTAAGATGCTATGTGTCTTGAAAACATCCCAGAGGTCTCTTGGGCAGGTCTCACCTCCTTAGGGATGAGGAAACCCAAAGCCTTGGAGAAATCATCATGACCACAGACACACATTGAGCTGGGTGGCAAATCCTTTATTGTAAGTTAGGCCCCTGGACACCCAATCTGACTTTCCTTGCTGTGTCCTGATGGCTTGCTTGACTCGGTCTGGTTCTGGTGACAGTGGCCTCTGTACCGTCCCTCTTGCGCATGCCATCTTTGGGCCCAGGTCTCCACCGGGTCATTTTCTACCCTATCCAGGAGCTTGCTGGTTCTCAGTCAGTGTGGCCTCACTATCTCCCCCTATTACACACTTCTTCACGGTGTTCTGTCCCAGTAAAGTTATCCTCCGGCCTCCCCACTGTTTCTTGGTGAACCCACAGAGCTCTGTTCTCCGTAGAGCCTTCTGTTGGTCAGTAGTCACTGACAGGACTCCTGAGGATGGGGTCCACTCTTCTCCCCCCCTTTAAGGCCCATTGGCCGGAGGCTGAGCCTGGTTCCAAAAACATCAGGATGAGGGCTCAGGCACCCAATACCGTCTCCCCCTACATCCCTCTGACCAGAAGTCGCTGCTGAAGCCCCCTGCCAGGAAATTCCCCAGAACCCCCCAAACTGAGCAAGGTGTGAGTGACCTAGAAGACCTCCCGTCACCCTTGTTCGTCTAAGCTGCTCCTTGGCAGTGGAACTGGCCTGGACAGTATGGTCCTCTGCCCCTCACTGGCCCCCCCTCCCCTCCCTCTGCCCACTGGGAATTGGGGAATGAAAGTGCTATTGTGCGAAGTGGCTGGGCCACTGAAGGGCCAGCACTGTTATTTCTGCAAAACCAGCCCTCCCATTAGCCATGCAGGGCACAGGCCAGGAAAATGTTACCTTTTCCTCCATGAGCTGACTGCAGGGGAAATTCTCACATTTACAGTTTGTGCGGTGGTGGTATTCGGGGGGCAGGCGGGGGGCCAGTGTGCTTGTGTGGTTTTGCTCGCGCACGGGGGCCAGGCGGGCGGGTGGGCGGGTGGGTGTCCTCCCCTGCACTCTCCCTCTTTCTTTCCCCAGCTCTGGGGGTACCTCCTGCTCTGGACTTGTATCTGGGGATATAAGTAGACCCACAGGCTGTGAGGAAGTAAACAGACACCCTCCCTCTCTTGGCCAGCGGGTAGCTGTGTGAAAACATGCTCATGGTGGGGTGGAGGCAGGGCACAGCCCAGCCAATCGGGAGGATGGATGCAAGGCCAGGAGATGGGAACAGGGACTCTTGACAGTCTTAGAAGCTGCTCAGAATTATAGGGTCTCCTTCCTGCCTTTGCCATCTCCTGGGGGCAGAGCACTATTTCCTCTAGGCCTGGCCACACACTAGAATTTTGGATGGTACAGCCTCTGTGCTCCCTAGAGCCCCACCCGATAGTCATTACGTGGGGACTGATGACAATTTGGGTCCCCAGAAAGTCCTACTTTTTGTCTAGCTATAGGTTCTCTTGCCTGCATACCAGTAGAGCAGAGGAGAGCCATATGCTTATTTCCTATGTATGCTGTGACCACACTTGTCCCCCCTCTCCTGACACTTCTGCCCAAGGTCCTAAGACTCAGAGCCCTTCGTGTGGCTCCACCCTAGCCCCTGTGGTGCCCCAAGGCTTGGAGAGCCCCCCACTCTCTTACAAACACAGGCGGTAACCCGAGGGCTGAGTGTAGGGGACTGCACAGAGATCTGGGTTGGAGCCACCCCCAGGGAGCTTGGTAGGAGGGGTATGGGCAGCATGCCCCCTGGCTGCAGGTCCCTTACCACCTGCCTTGGGTCCCTTCAGGTCTTCTCCAAGATCTTCAGCCACGAGGCGCTAGAGAGCTACCTGCCCAAGATCCAACTGGTGATCCAGGACACACTTCGAGCCTGGAGCAGCCAGCCTGAGGCCATCAATGTGTATCAGGAGGCCCAGCGACTTACCTTCCGAATGGCGGTGCGCGTGCTGCTGGGCTTCAGCATCCCCGAGGAGGACCTGGGCCACCTCTTCGAGGTATACCAGCAGTTTGTGGAGAATGTCTTTTCTCTTCCTGTGGACCTTCCCTTCAGTGGCTACCGAAGGGTGAGTACCCAGTGCCTGGGAAGAGAGGGTACAACACTGCCTTTGTGAGGGAAACCGCGGGCAGATGCTGGGAGGGAGCACAGGGCACGGGAACAGACAGGTGAGAGCAGAGGTCCTCACAGGATGGCTCTGGAGCCTTTCCTATGAGCCAGCGGCTTAGAAGGAGTCCTGTCAGCCGGGCGGTGGTGGCGCACGCCTTTAACCCCAGCACTCGGGAGGCAGAGGCAGGCGGATCTCTGTGAGTTCGAGGCCAGCCTGGACTACCAAGTGAGTCCCAGGAAAGGCGCAAAGCTACACAGAGAAACCCTGTCTTGAAAAACCAAAAAAAAAAAAAAAAAAAAAAAAGAGTCCTGTCTTCAAGAAGAGCTGATGGTCCTCTTTCCCCTAGGGCATCCAAGCTCGGCAGATCCTTCAGAAGGGCCTCGAGAAGGCTATCCGTGAGAAGCTGCAGTGTACCCAGGGCAAAGACTACTCGGATGCCCTGGACATTCTCATTGAGAGCAGCAAGGAGCACGGCAAGGAGATGACCATGCAGGAGCTGAAGGTGGGTGGGCAGGGCCACGTCCACCGTGGAACTCCCCTCTCACTTCCCTCGTCCAGAGCAGGAGGTTGTCTGGCTGCTACCTCTCTAGTCAGCTTCCTGAGCAGCAGCCCAGGCAGTAGTTAGCTTTCGCCCAGCGGTGCTGAGGCAGAAGCAGAGTGGCATCATGGCTTGCGGCTGGGTGCACTATGTCCTGGGGTGGCCAGGCTCCAGAAGCTATACCCTACCCATATCCATCTCTATTGAACACTGACCCTTAGGCCTACAGAGCGCCTTTGTTGGCACCTCCCACTGAGCCTATCCCTGGCTTACTCTCTCGGTTCATTCCATGGTCCCCAGAAAACACATACCCAGAAGCCACTCGCTGGAGACCAGCTCCACACTCCAGAGAGGTTTTAATTGTAATATGGACTCCCTCCTCTTACAGTCTGCCCAGTCGTGCTTGGGAATCTTGTCCTTCCTGAACTGCCTGAACACAGCTGGGCCTCAGTCCCTTGGCCCTGTAGTAGGCCCTGTCTGGGGGCTCTCCACTGGCCAGGGCTTATTCATCCCCAACCTGCACCCCTTTACCTGGTATCTGCAGACTTCCCCAGGAAGCTGGGGAGAAGCTGCTGTAACCTCATTAGCAAGTGCCCAGGCCTTGAGATGAGGAACCTCTGGGATCCACTGCAGCCTCTCTTAGTCCTGGCTGCTGCATTCTGCTATTTCTAGATCCTGCCTGCCCATCTGACCACCTGAAAGGCATCCCTCTTCTGGTGATGGAGGAAGAAGCTGAGGGCATAGATACCTCGTTACTCATAACACACACACACACACACACACACACACACACACACACACATACACACTGCAGAGCCTCTGCAACATATCCATTCTCTTCCATGAGCTCTCTGCATTGGGCAGGCCATGAGTCCAGCACTAAGCAAGAAGTGACCTTAAGCTCTGGAGCAAGCAGGCCTGTGCTTCTGCCCTGAGTCATAGATAGCAGTGTGCTTCCAGCCAGGCTGGGGGCCAGGCTGTGACCACCACCCCACCCCACCCCCGCCTTGTGCCTTTTGAGAATAATGCTCAGAGCAAAAGTGTTAGCTGCCAGGAGGTAAGGCCCAGTGCAGATGGACTCTGGGGAAAGCTGGTTCTGTAGGTCACCCCATGTGACTGCTGCAAATAATCCAGAATGCCTGTCTCTCTGCTGCCACAGGACGGTACCCTGGAGCTGATCTTCGCAGCCTATGCCACCACGGCCAGTGCTAGCACGTCCTTGATCATGCAGCTGCTGAAACACCCTGCTGTGCTGGAGAAGCTGAGGGAGGAGCTGCGGGCCCAGGGCCTGTTGCATGGTGGCGGCTGCCCCTGCGAAGGCACCCTGCGCCTGGACACGCTCAGCAGCCTGCGCTACCTGGACTGTGTCATCAAGGAGGTCATGAGGCTCTTCACGCCCATCTCTGGTGGCTACCGTACCGTGCTGCAGACCTTCGAACTGGATGTGAGGCTGGGTTCCAGTGCTGCTGCTGGTGGGGTGCCTGGGACTTTTTGGCTTAGCCAGGAGAAGATGGCCGTCTCGGGGTCCTTAGGATGTTAGAGGGGGATGGAACAGTGCCTGATTCTAGTAGCTTCCAGTCTTGAGGAACGAATGTAGAACTGAGCGAAGCCAACCTGTACGTCACATGGGATGCTACTTGTGACCCATAGAAATGTAGCCTCGAACTAGCTAGCATGCTGGGGGAGTGTCTTTGGTCAGGGACAGGCTGTGAACATCTGAGGATGAGGATAGGTAAGTGGGCCTCTTCTGGATCTCACCACCCTACTCCCTGCTCCGTCTTCCTCCAGGGTTTCCAGATCCCCAAGGGCTGGAGTGTCATGTACAGCATTCGAGACACTCACGACACAGCGCCCGTGTTCAAGGACGTGAACGTGTTTGACCCCGACCGCTTCAGCCAGGCGCGCAGCGAGGACAAGGATGGCCGCTTCCACTACCTCCCATTTGGCGGTGGCGTGCGGACCTGCCTGGGCAAGCACCTGGCCAAGCTGTTCCTGAAGGTGCTGGCGGTGGAGCTGGCCAGCACCAGCCGCTTCGAGCTGGCCACCCGGACCTTCCCCCGCATCACTCTGGTCCCTGTCTTGCACCCTGTGGATGGCCTCAGCGTCAAGTTCTTTGGTCTGGACTCCAATCAGAATGAGATTCTGCCCGAGACAGAGGCCATGCTGAGCGCTACAGTGTAGCCTCGCTCTGGTCTCAGCCCGGCCCAGCAGAGGGGTAGGGGATAGAGACAGAAACCTGTGGGGTGGGGCGGGGCTGGATGGGAGGCCAGCAGCCCCCTATGATTTCCTCCTCTGGCTTCCTCTCCAGCAAACCCGCTCCGAGTACAAAAGGGCCCCGCCCCCTCCTGACTCCCACTCTCTTGGATCTCCACTGCCCCCTAGCTTAGCTCCCGGGACAGGGCCAGGACAGGGCTCTGTGTGCCCATGACAGTGTTAGAGCCCGCTGGCTGAGCTGCGGAATGTGCTTATGACCTTCTGAACGCTCCCTCTCTTTACCCCCTTGTCTTTTTGTTGGTGGTCTGGTGGTTGTAAAGGCAGGAGGGAAGAAAAGAGGGGGGCCCTTGGAGCACTCTTTGGCACCCTGCACCCACCACCACCACCACCACCACCACCACCACCACCACCACCACCCCACCCCCACCCCCACCCCCCACCCCACCCCCGCTCCTGTCACTGCTCAAATGATGTCCAGAACAGCGTCTTGGGGATTCTCACCTAATTCAACCTGGGCAGCTCAGGAACTGCCACCAGCCTTGAGGGTGCCCTGCACCAGCCTAACCAGTTTGGACATTGGAAATTACCTATTGCTGCTATTTGTTCTCTCTTCTGATCTTGGGGTACGGGGGCCTATAGGCTTAATCCCCAGCATCTTCCTTGGTGGCCCTGGGCAGGCACACTGGCACTCCTCTCCCATGGGACCCACTGAGGACTCCCAGCTGCCCACCCCTGCCCCCGAGCCCATATTTATTCACTGACCTTGGCTACACTGAGGTCTGGAGCACACGCCTGCCCCGACACAGCTGCCAACCTCTGGCCTAGCTGTCCTTTTCAGGGCTTATGCAAGGCAAGAAGACAGATCTCTGGTCTAACCCAGCTCCCTGGTGAAGGTTAACGGCCCTCCTGGGCTCCAGGCAAATGTTCAGTTTAACCTCAGAGTCAGACACCCAGCATCTCTGCCAGGTGTTGTTGTTGTTTTTTTTTTTTAAATCACCTCCTCCCATCTGTCAAAGGCCTGGGCTTGTGCATCTGGGGGCCACCACTTCCTGTTCGCTCACTGCCTGCCCCAGTGCCAGCCACTCCGCTAGTGAGGATGTGTAAGGATACGGGTTCTTCTGAAGGGACTTCTTGCCTTCCCTTCCTTAACCCTCACTGTCTGCGCCTTTGCTCTTGGGAGAGCTCCCCACCCCACCCCCATCCCGCCCCTGCCCCCACCCCCATGCCACTGTCTGCTAAGCCCTGCTCCGGGTGTGGGGTGGCCATGAAAGCGGAGAGGTAAGGTAGAGAGAGCCCTCCCCCTGAGATGCCTCAGGCCCTGCGGGGGTCTGGAGACACTCCAGGGGAGGCTGCAGAAAGCCATGGGGAAGGAGAGGAGGAAGGAGGACGAGGACAGGCATGAATGAGTTTTGTCGGAAGTGGTTCAGTTGCAGAGAGGCCAGCGGGGACGACTGGGCGGACAGGGCATTTTGAGGACTGGCGACCTAGGACCCCTCCTGGGAAGAGTGCGGGGCTCCGACGAGTCTCTAGGCAATTTCGTCTGTTTTCAGATTCCTGTTTGCCTTTGTTTCCATCCATTGCTTTTGCATGTCACCAAGGCAATGGGTCCTCTTCACAAGAAAATAAAAACGCAGAATGACAGCCCACATCAACTTGACCCGAGACGGCCACTGTCACGGAAATTCAGCCACAGAGGATGTCTGTCCCATGTGAGCTGTGCTTCCCAAATGTTTCAGTGGCCTCCTGCGTTTTCCTGACGGAACCCAAACAAACAAGACCATTAGAACAGACGTTAGCCGCAAAATTAATGTGAAACTGAAAATAAGTGTAACCCCTCCATTTCCTTTCCCAGTTCTGAAGCAGACCAAAATGTGTAAAGACTCGTCAAAGCGTAGGACATAGGTGCATGCTGCCCCCAAGCCAGCTCAGTGCCTGGAAGGGTCACTTTCCTGCACGCTAACCCTGCTTGCCTGTTTCAGACTGAAGATGTGGCATGTCGTGTAACTCTGGCCCTGGTGCGGGACAGGGAGACTGGAGGGCCCCAGCAGGCTTCAGGGGCCTTCCCTTTCAGGGGCCAGCCCAGGAGGCGTGGAGAAGGCAAAGCTGAGTGGGATCCGTGTGAGGGGAGGAGGGAGAAAAGATGGTCTGCCTGGGTGGGTCTCAAAGGTACCAGGCGAAGGGGCCTAGCCCGGGCGCCTGCGGGCGACACCTGTCTCACCCCTGTAGATGTGTCTATTCCGTGTTCGTGTGTTTCATTGTGGTAGCATTAATGGGTGATGTATTCTCACATTCCTAACTATTGTAACTTGACATTAAAAAGTTAAACCCCACAAGACTTCCTGCCACGGGCTTGCAGATTGAAGCACTTTCGAAGTTAGGCGCTGGCGTGTGCGTTCTGGGCAACCATTTTGATCCTGCCCAGATTTCTATTATTTTATACACAAAACTTTTTTTTCATAAATGTTATAATTTTGTGTCTGTCTTTATAAACTATTATAAGTACTATTTTTGTTATAATTCAAAATAGATATTTAGTATAAAGTTTTTGCTGTTAAATATTTGTTATTTAGTAAAATATGAATTGTTCTTTATTGTAAACATGGTTCAAAATATTAATATGTTTTTATCACAGTTGTTTTAATATTGAGAAAGCACTTGTGTGTTTCGTTTTGGTATGAGCTGGTGCCGTGTGTGTGTTTTGATTGTCGTGTGGTTTTGATGTGTATATAATATTCCATGTTGCATATTACAACAATGAATGTCATGCATTTTGTGAAATACTCAATGTGGCTCTTTTATTGGCTTCCATAATAAACTGTGGGGACTCACCCTGGTCTTTGTTGGCTGTCTGGTTTCTTACCCTTCAGACTCATTAGAAGGCTCCCGGGGTTATCCATATTTCATCAGCAATGCCCAAACCAACCTGTCAGGAAGTTCTAGAATGTGTTGTGGAGTTCTGCCCCACATTCCTACACACACCAAAGGCTGTGGCAAGGTCCAGAGCCTGATGGGGGAACTGGCAGCTGGGAGGCCACACCCCTGCTAAGTGTGACTGTGACCAGGTATGCCAGGTCTTTGCACTGGAACCAATGACCCAAGGCTTGCCCATCAGTGTGAGCAAGGACGGCTGAAATCCAAAGCCATGGCAGGTACAGGAGTGGAGTCCCTGTTGTGATCTCAGCCTCTTGCCTGGGCAGGTGATTTTCCAAATCTGTTTCCTGGCTATCATGGGATCAAGTACATCCCACAATCACATATGCTTGGGAAATGGACTAAACAAAATTAACCAGGTTCCCGTATTGCAAGTCTTGAGCCCCAGGATGGTAGAGGAGTCAGTATGCCTCCAGACTACAGTGGTGTGCAAGCCACTTTGAGAGCTGAAATGTTCCATTTCCTAAGCTATTCCATAGCTGGACTGTCCCAGAGGCCTGCGGGGTCGGGGTCGGGGTCGGGGGAGTGGAGGGCTGTGGAAAGGCAGCTGGCAGGCCAGGGACCAGTAATGTCCACAGGGGTTCTGAGGACCAGGGCTGTGGATATAGTGGGGATGCTAGGAGGCAGGAAGCTGTGCTGGTGTCATGCCTGGGCCTCTTCTCATATCCTCGGGTGGCCACTACCAGGCTGACCTGACAAAAGTCACTGTGTGGTCACCTCAGTTCTTTCTAATAGTCTGACCAAGGCTCTGCCCAGGCCCAGGCACACAGGGACCCAGGCACTCTGGGACCCAGGCACTCTGGGACCCAGGCACACGGGAACCCAGGCACTCTGGGACCCAGGCACACGGGGACCCAGGCACACGGGGACACAGGCACACGGGGACACAGGCACACGGGGACACAGGCACACGGGGACCCAGGCACTCTGGGACACAGGCACTCTGGGACCCAGGCACACGGGGACCCAGGCACTCTGGGACCCAGGCACACGGGGACCCAGGCACTCTGGGACCCAGGCATTCTGGGACCCAGGCACATGGGGACCCAGGCACTCTGGGACCCAGGCACTCTGGGACACAGGCACACGGGGACCCAGGCACTCTGGGACACAGGCACACGGGGACCCAGGCACTCTGGGACCCAGGCACACGGGGACCCAGGCACACGGGGACCCAGGCACTCTGGGACCCAGGCACACGGGGAC